TGCTGGGAAGATGGTGCTGACCACACAGAGACCAGATCCCTCTCCACCATCACACAGAAACCAACCTCAAATGGACTGAGACAAGCGCAGAAGAAAGACAGTGAAACGTCCAGAAAATGATGCACAGCTCTGACCTTAAAGTCCTAAGGGAGAATATAACTATGGGCCTAAAGTAAAGTACAAACTTCAACTCTAAAACTTGTGCTTTTCATAAAATGGTGAAAGAACAAGCAGGAAGAAAACACATGCAGCTATGCAGACCACTTACATAAACAGATGCAGCTATATGTAAAATCTGTAGCACACAACTGGTATGCACAATAGACAAATGAAAAACAGAAGGAAATGGTCTTCAAATGAAGAGATGAAGACTCCGAATTCCACAAAGAACGAACAAGGAAAGTCATGTAGACAAGAGCGGGTTAAATTTAGAGCTTTGTGGAGTGAAACATCTTTTCTGGAACTCTAGCTGCTGAAGAGAATGGGATAACATTTGCGGACTTCTGAGGGGATATATGGTATTACAATTAGGACTGCAGCCGGGTGCTGGTGGCTCACGCCTGTAATCCCAGCTGTTCAGGAGGCAGAGATCAGGAGGATTGAGGTTCAAAGCCAGCCTGGGCAAATAGTTCACAAGACTCTTCCTTGAAAATACCCAACACAAAAAAAGGCTGGTGGAGTGGCTCAAGGGGTGGACCTTGAGTTCAAACCCCAGTACCGCAAAAACAAGAAAATTAGAATGGGCTATCAAGGCAAACACCTGCTGGGGAATAATGTCCAAACAAATATCCTCAGACATAGAAGAGCCCTTGTGACCTTTCTGGAACAAAAATACTCGAAGAAATAGCTGAACCAAATAGAAGAAGAAATGAATTCAAAACAAGGCACAGCATACAAGAAACAGTGGTGAGTTGAGACCATGTAACTGTTGATGTCATCATGAGATTTTTCTTTTGCTGTGTTTCTGCAGTGCTGGGGATTGAACCCAGGGCCTTGGGCCAGCTAGGCAGGCGCTGCACCCCTGAGCTACCACTCCAGATCACCATGAGCTTTAATTAAATTAAAATAAAGGCACCTGAGCTAGACAGGCAGTGGAATCTGTCCTAGACTATTTTCTTTATTTTCCTCACTTCTTTCTCAGCACTTCATGAATTTTTCCCCCCATTCTTTGTGTTTTTCCTGGAGAATTCCTTTAAGCTCAACTTGTGATCCACTGGTAAGGTTTTCAGCTATATTTAACCTGCTAATTACTAACTCACAACTTCTAATTGTTATTTTTATTTTGAAATAGCTTCTTTTGTAAAACAGACTATTCTTGTTTAATTAACAGAGCAACTCTGTGAACTTCAATGATAATATGAAATAAAAAGAGTTTTATGTTAACTATTTCAGCAGGAGCCTTTTGCTTTGAACCTCTTGGATGTCTTCATAACGTCTGAGTTTGTTTTCTTTTCAGTTTACAGGTATAAATGATGCCAGGTCAGCATCAACTATATAACTTTCTGAAATAATTCTGTGCTAATATACCACACATGGTTATGGAGTATTAGAAATGTGGCTAGTGCAACTGAGGGGCCAAGTTTTAAACTCTGTTTAATTTTAATGAACTTCAGTTGAAATACAAATAGTCACCTGTGACCGGTGGCTACTCTGCAGGACACTGCGGGTCTAGGTGTTCAGTATTCTTAGCTCATAAGGGATCTCTGTGCACGTGTATGGTCATCACTGAATTCCTCACCAAGATGGCCTTTTCCTATCTGGTTAGTTCCACAGAAGTGCAAGAGACAGCCTCAGAGTGTACAAGGCCGGCTCCCCTATGCTGCAGTACAGAAAATGGCCAGTAGGGGGACCCTTCCCTCCACAGGCTGGATGGGAAGTGTCTACCTCTGTCTTCCTGTCCCCTTGGTCAAGGCTGCCCTGCCTGTGCACACACACTGTGGCACACAGGACTGGTCAGCACGAAGGACAGCAAGTGTGTTCAGGCCACCATCTTCAACAGCTCTCTTTTTGCGGCTCTTGCCGCAAAAAGATTCATGAATAAAGACTCAAGAACATGACAGAACTTTTTCTCTAACAGACGGCATTGTCCCAGAAGGAAAATAACTCACAGAGGAAGGACATTAAGTACAGACGCTCAGGTCACACTGTGCTACCACCTTGAAGATAAAAAATAACAGTACTTTAAAAAAAGCCAAAACTTTTGGCTTTCTACCGTGTGACTCAAACCCAACTTACAGGGTTCTGCAATGTTGTGACCCACAGTTAACGTTCCCAAATGTTCACTGTGCCATGAAATTGCCCTGAGTTCAAACCTCACTACTGTCAAAAAAACAAAAGCCATGAAATCATCCCACAAATAAACAATACATACAGTGACAGACTTAGAAGGTGAGGGTCAGTACACATGCTAAATTACAGCCACCACTCCAAACTCGATGTAACTTCAGAAAATAATTATACACACTAATAACCGAGCAAACTCAGATACCTATTCCTTATGTTGAAAAAAAATGGTAAAAGTTTTGTGACTATTTTAGCCTTAATATGTTTTTAAGTGTTCTATACCACTGGCAAATTATAATACTTTTATATTCTTCCTGGGTGAGGAAAAAAAAATCAAAATTTTGCTCAAATCTGTCAATTCTCAGTTACACTCTAAACTAAAAAGTTAAATGACATTTTTAGTCTCCGAAGCCTTGGATGGGAATTACCAGGCATCAGTGAGTTGGGTTTGTTTTGGAGTGGTACTGGAGTATAAACTCAGGACCTCATGCTAAGCAGGCACTCTACCCCGTCAGGCATGTTTTTCAGATAGGAGCTCATGGTTTTGCCCGGGCTAGCTCGGACCATGATCCTCCCATATAGCTGGGATCACAGGCATGGCCCACTGTGCCCAGCTTATTGCTTGAGATGTGGTCTTGTTAACTTTTTGCCTGGGCTAGCCTTGAATGGCGATCTTCCCAATGTCTGCCGCCTGAGTAGCTAGGATTATAGACATGAAGCACTGTGCATGGCCTCTCACTGAGTTTTTTGAACTGGAAGAGAATAAACAAAAGAGGCAGAGCTATCATGCAGAGAAGCAGAGGCTTTGGAGAAATACAGGTAGGTGACACATATTTAGCAGGTCTGTGATTAAGTCATTTACATGGCTGAACCTCAACGTCCTCCACTATTATCTGTTTCACAATTACTGAAACAACTAATTACCAGCATACTCAACAGTCTCAAGTTTGTTTGCAGTATTTGCCAATTTATTTTCCTGAAATGGTCTGTGAACAGATGTGCACTGGATTGAAAAGTGTCCTCTCAAAATTGCTGGCTGTAGCCTGTGAATGTGGCCTCATTAAGAAAAAGGGTCTTCATAGAATGTGATGAAGTTAAAATAGGTCACTATGGGTTAGAGTGGGCCCTAAACTCAGTGAGTGGTGTCCTCATTAGGAGAGCCTATGAAGACAGACAGCAAAAGCCACGTGGTGATGGAGGAAAGGAGTGCTAGCGACCACAAGAAGCCAGGAAGAGGCAAAGCGGGGCTCTTCCCTAGCGCCTTGGAGGAGGCACAGCCCTGTAGCAGACTTCCAGCCTCCAGACAGCGGCAAGCACATTTCTGTCGTCATAAGGCACTTTGTTAGAACAGCGCTGAGGAATTAACGTGGTGTTGATCCCTCACAGAGGAAGTAACACACATTTTTTTATGGTTGAACAATAGCAAGTAGCATCATCTTCTGATCTGTTTCATGTGGATTTTGTGAGAAAACTTTTTAAAAGCATGTTAGTTAGGGATCATGGCTACAACTCAAGTAGGGTTTTAAAGAAGTGACTGTGGCAGGGGTGGAAGTGAAGAGCATGGAAGAGGGCTGCACTAGTGGATCTTGACTTCCTAGGCCAGGACGCAGACAGGGTCAGGACCCAGACAGATGCAGTAGGGATTTGTTGTCTGTTGGCGGTACTCAGGACCTTATGCTTGCTAGGCCAGCACTCTACCACATGAGAGGTCTCCAGCCCGAAGGAGGCCTCCGGGGCTCTGAAGGCAGGACTCGCCATCTTTCTCATCTTATTCTTCTGTACGTTAGTTTCATTCTTCTATCTTCTATCTGGAGGCCATCTTTATCTAGCAGGTGAACACATTACTGCCAGCAGTTCCTTAATTTTCAGACAGCTTGCCCCTGAAGAGATATAGGCTCCATTCTCTGGGTCCCCAAAGGCAAAAAGCCCAGTGGAAGACCCTGAGGGGCCTGAGCTACATTGGCTGACCACTCCTGAACTGCCCGATGCAGCCCAGTGGCCAGGAAGTATCCAGAGAAAGAGATGGAAGGCAACAATCTGCACAAAGTACAGTGCTACTTCCCTTTCCAATACAGATAAAATATGATTTGAAAAATAAGAAGCAAGTTGGTCGCTGGTGGCTAACGCCTGTAATCCTAGCTACTTGGGAGGCAGAGATCAGGAGGATCTCGGGTCAAAGCCAGCCTGGGAAAAAGTTTCCCAAGATTCTATCTCAACAATGGCTGGGTGCAGCGGTGTACGCCTTTCATCCCAAGCTATGTGGGAGGCTGAGAGAGGGAGGATTGCAGTTCCAAGTCCACCTGGGCAAAAAGGGAGACCCTATCTCCAGAATAATCAGAGCAATCTGGGCACCTGTGGCCTATAATCCTAGCTACTCAGGAGGCAGAGATCAGGAGGATCGCAGTTTGAAGCCAGCCTGGGCAAACAGTTCTCAAAACTGTCTCAAAAAAACCCTTCACAAAAAAAAAAAGGTCTGGTGGAGTGGCTCAAGGTGTAGGCCCTGAGCTCAAATCCTAGTACCACACGCACACACAGAATAAGAAGCAGTGATAGAGGAAAAACCAACTTTAACGAACAGTCAAGAAGTAGATAACTGAATGATTTATTGCTTTATGTGCGTAACGATAAATAAAAAACATTTTCACAGTTTTCTCTAAAAGAAAAAGTAAGAAACTGTTTTTAATTTATTCTAATTTTAATTTACTCTAACGAAGTTCTTATCTTTTGGTAGTAAAGAAATGTATTTTATTATCAGTAAACATTTGATTGCCTAGTGTGTTGGGGTGCTGAAGTACCATGAAATTATTTCGAAAGCTGATTAAACTCAACGTGTAACGTGTAACATAGACATGCTCACCTACCTTGGTACTGGGGTTTCTATCAGCTCGATCCAGTTCAAAGGAGTTAATTTTATTGGCGCTCATTTCATCTGTGTCAGCAATGACGTAATGCCGCGGCGAGTACGCATTGGACAAGCTCCCAACCAGCCTCAGGATCTCGGTGGTGTGGCCGCCTAGGAAAACAGGCTAAGATCAAGAACCTCACAACGGACACATCCATCTCACCACGGTTAACCAAGGTCATGTTCTGTAAATGCATATTTCTCAAACGACACAAGAACGTTTGAAAACGATAATCTATGCCCTCGTATAACTAGCACTTTTATAAGAGGGAAGATGATTAATGTGTAAATATGTAGTTGGTACTGAGGAAGGTACATGGAAGGGTAAGACACAGTCTGTGATCAAGAGGCATGGTGGGAAAAGGGCAACACACACATAATCAAAGAAAGAGGATGAACACCAGCAAGAAAAACCACAAGGGGATAGAAGCAAATGCCTATGAAAATCAATGCTGTAGGAGGAGGGCAGGTCCCTGGTGAAGGCTGAGATGACCAATAGATAGGAGTAGGGAGGCCATCGGACAGGGGCAGGGATCATGAGAGCCAGTCCCTGGGGTGATGGGGCACTGAGAAGAGGGTGAAGGTGAAGTAAGGTCAGAAAAGAGGATAAGCCAGGTGCCGGTGGCTCACACCTGTAATCCTAACTACTCAGGAGACAGATCAGAAGGTTTGAGGTTCAAAGCCAACTGTGGGCAAGTAGTTTATGAGACCCCCATCTTGAAAAAACCCTTCAAAAAAAAGGCCTGGTGGAGTGGCTCCAAGCAGCACCAAAAAAAAAAAAAAAAAAGAAAGAAAGAAAAGCAAAGTAGGAGGAAGACAGTCACTGATGTGTCTGTGTAGAGAAGAGGGCAAGGAAGGAATGTGCCCTGAGCCAGGGACTGGAAGCTACCCGGGGACCACTCTCTCACCACTGTCACCTCAGTTCCCAACAGAGGTCCTGGGACCCTGCAGGTCCCCACACAAGTATGTGTTCAGCTTTTGAGATCCTACAATCTCCAAAATTTAAGACTCCAATTCCAAAATGAGCTACAGTTACCCTCATAGCATCTTTGGGGTGATGGTTCCAGGGGCCCCACAGAAACCAAAATCTGCAGCTGCTCAAGTTCCTCAAAAGAAACAGTGTAGTTTTTGTGGAACCCACACACTTCCTGCTATATGCTGAAATCAGCTCTAGATTAGCTAATATAATGTAAATGGTTATTATGCTATGCTATTTAGGGATAATGACAAGAAAAATGTCTGTATGTGTTTAATACAGATGCAACTTTTTTTTTTCAAGTATTTTGGATCTGCGGATGGTTGAACCCAGGGCTGCAGAACCCACGGGCACAGAGAGAGCCAGGTGCATTCACCAAAGTTCCTCCACACAAAACAAAAACAGCAACAAAACGGAAGATCACGCACCACAAACCATGGAAGCAAAACGAACTCTTTCTCACCTCCGCTAGTTTCCCTTCCCCTAGCTTCTGCCAGCTCGATGTCTTCAACATTCTCCATGTCCACCTTGCCTGTTACGTCCTCCCTGCCTTTGCTTATGCTGTCCCCCTTCTAGGACGCTCCCCCACCCCACCTCTTTTTAACAGTAAGACACAAACATGTTTGTGTTATGTGTTTCCTCTCAACATATTTTTTAAATGGTAGAACAGGAAGAATTTCTTTCCAGGTTCCAGAAGGAATTATACATAGAAAGAAATGTGGCATGGATTTAATGTGAACTTCAGCAATCAAAATCGCACATTAACTTTATAACTTTTCACCCACCTTCTTGACTGGGGCAAGCAATTTACACATCTGCTTTATACTCACTGGAGTGTTTTTATGTTTCGCCTTGCAAAGGCGTTGTAAAGTAGGTACTTGTTTTCACAGTTAGATCGATTAAGGAAAAAACCTAACAGCCACACCTTCCACTGCGAGGGAAACTCCATTATCCCTGCTTTAACAGTTTTTTTCTTTTTTAAAAGAAAACCCTCCATGAATACATTTGTTAGAATTTTAACTCATGACTGAGTAAGGGCATTAAAATGGTGGACTCTTTTACTACGAGTCCATTTTCCTCTTTTATTAAGATACATTTGGGCAATAAAATCCTCTCAGTTGTACCTTAGAACACATCAAACATCCAGTCACTTCTCACCACCTCCTTTGCCACCATCTCGCCTCTCACCTGTTCTCCTTCTCCTTCAGGCTATTCTCAACACAGCACCCTGTATGATCCTATGAAAAAGAATTAATCTAATTATTTACTTCTGTTCAAACTCCCCAATGGCTTTGCCTCTCATGCAGAATAAAAGGCTTCTTATAATCTGACCCCTCCTCTGTTATCTCTTGGACCTCATCTCCTTCTCTTCCCTTACTACTTCCCTCACCCTGGTCCTTGCTGTTGTGTATCTGTCCTCTTCCTGGGAGGCTCTGACTGACAGTTATTTGTAAAATATAAATTCTTCTTCCCATAACTATAGTCTTTTTTTGTACATGTATCATATTTTCTTTATCTTGTTTTTATGGGCAACTAGGCTGATTCCGTAAGTGGATACGGTGACTCTGTGATAAACATAGGCGTGCAGATTTCTGTATTGTGTATGTCTTAGCTTGTGTTGGGTGTATGCCCAGAAGAGATATAGCTAGATAATATGGTAGCTGTTTTAATTTTCTATGGAACCTCCATACCTATTTCCATAGTGCCTAGACTAAGTGACATTCCCATCAACAGTGTATAAGGAAGAGTCCTTCAGTCCCTGCCACATTCTAACCAACTTTCTTGATGATAGCCATTGACAGGTAAGATGGAATCTCACATGGTTTTGACTTGCATTTCCTTTATGTTTAACATTTCTTCACGTTTATTGGCCATTTGTTCTTCTTTTGAGAACTGTGTGTTCATCTGCCCATTTATTAAAGGAGGTATTTGTTCTCTCCATGTTTAATTTTTTGAGCTCTTCATATAGTCTGGCTATTAATCCTTTGTCCATATAATAGGGTGCAAAGATTTTCCCCATTCTTTATTTTTTTATTACCATATTATTGTTGTACTTGGGATACACTGACATTTACAAACATTCTTACAATATATCATAGTTGAATTCACCTCCTCCATCATTCCTCCTTTTTCCCCTGTGTTTTGCCTTTTATATTCCCCCATCTTTACCTACTAGAAGAGCAGGGATTTTGTCCATTTTGTCTCTGCTGAACCTCCAGGGCTGAGAAAAGAGAAGTCATTCCTATTGTTAAACGAATGGGAGTTTGATATTAAATCTAAATTTGCCTAAGGAGAAGATATTGTGTATCAGAGAGATTTGACAGATCTCTAAGAATTAGTCAACTAATAATATTTTATGGTATCTAAAGATTAGCCATTGCTTGGTCTTCAAGGTAAACACTGGAAATGTGTTCTCCCTGCTCAAAAATTTGGGGCATGAACTATTAAGCTGTTTATTCAGTTCTAAGTCATTCTGTGCCTTGCATGAGTCTTTCGTAGAGGCCTCTACTACCCTACAGAATTTGAATGAGGGAGGACACTACTTGCTAAATGAATTTTCAATCGTAACTTTGGTTTCTAGTCCACCAAATCTAGGATCGTCAAGTGAACAGTTTTAACATTTACCCATCTGTTCACATCAGAAACCTGGACACCATCCTTTAGTTTTCCTTGTGTCAAGTTCAGATACGACTTGTGTCACATTTCTTATGTCAAATTCAGGAAGGTGTTGTCCTTCCTGAAGACTGCTGACCATTGCACAGCTGTACTTCTGATGCAGCTATTATAAGGTCTGAGCACTTAGTGTGGCAAGTACCCGTTTTCTTTTGGCTTCTGTTAGCTTTTCTATAGTCTCTATTTCACTCACTGCTGTATCCCTTTACCTTTCATAGTGCTTGGTACATAGCTGGCTCGCCACACATAGCAAGTAGTCAGTCAATTTTGTTCTTTCCAGAGCTTATTTTAGTGCCTGGTGTCTCCTACTGCTCAAAATATGTTAAGTGAGTAATCAGTTATACTTGAACCTAAGTTCACTTGCCATATCATAAATATTATTCCATGTAGATGCACTCTCCTGGCATTTCCAAATGGCACTGTGTGTGTATGCGTGTGAGAGAGAGAGAGAGAGAGAGAGAGAGAGAGAGAGAGAGAGAGAGATTCACCACATAACGCTGTTTGGGACAACGATGGACAGCTGACAGGACAGTGGCCCAATGGCACTACCAGGGAGCTGGTGACACACTGTGCATGGGCGATGCTGGTGTAAACAAACCCAGTGCGCTGCCCGCCAAATAACAGCACGGCAGGTACAATTACCTACAGGGCACATCATCTGATAATGACAACAGGCGTCTGTATTTACTAAGCCTTTCTTGCTGCTTTGAACGCCCTGCTGTGGGGGCAGCAGCCACATAGCTGTCGTGCTTGCCCCGCGTGCTGACCGCGCCATCCCTGTGTCTGGACTTGACCTCGCGTGGCAGCAACTGCCCCCGTGCATTGCTGTGTGGCGTGGATTTGTCTGGCTGTGTGAGCACACCTGCCCCAGACCTCACCTACTGGTCGGACAGACGGCGGCGCGGACCCGGCCACGCTGCCCGCCGTGTTCTAAGGACTGGGGACGGTGGTCATCCTCGTGGACCCTTGCAAGGGTGACTGTTCACTAAACTAAATGCGCAATGCCTAGATTAATAATGCACGGCGGCCAACAGGACAGTCAAAAGGCGTTCGCAACCTCTCTGTTCACTAATCATTTGTTAGAAAGCGACGCCCTCCAGAGAGGCTTAATTACACACCAGTGTAAATTACTTGTCTTTAAGACAAGACTGACGGGAGCCGCATCGTGCAGGTCCGGTAATGCGGAGAAACTACCAACCCCAGCATGCACCGCTGCAGAAGGCGCTAAGGTGGCCACGGACGACCGCCGCGGAGTACTTTGGGGTTTGTAGTGAATGACCCAACCCGACAGCCACCATCTTGATACTTACCGGACCCAGCCACTACCAAGAGACTGAGAGATTCCCGAGGCGTGAAGTCCTGGGGCCCAAGCACTATCCATAGCCGCAGGACCAGGACAACCGCCACAGCCCCCACCGCTGCGGCGAGACAAAGAACACACACCATTCAGAGGGACGGTACATGCGCACTACTCCTGGCGCCAGCGGTCAAAGTTCACAACTACGGGCGCTGAGAAGACTCAACTGCGGTGACGCCGCCAGAAGGGCGGGCCCTAGCGGAGCTGGCGGAGTGACGTCATCGGGTGGGCGGGCCCTGCCTGAGCTGGGCGGAGTTGAGGGCGGGAGGCAGAAGCCGAGCTCCGCGGATGGCCGTGGCTTTCTTACTGGGTTTTGCACCGCTGCTGCGCCAGGCCGGAGCTGAAATTCCGAGATTTGAGCGTCTAAGAAGTGTGATTTCAACCGGTGACGATATCAGGCCAGCCTTGAGCCCAAAAAGCCCGAAGCTCCCAAGTTAGGAGGTGTTCAACTCTGTCTGCTGGGCCTGAAGCTAAGGGTACTTTGTCCCTTCCGTCCTCTCTCCTGCCTCACTCCTTCTTTTCCTTCCTCCCTCTCTCTTTCCTTCTCCTCCTCTTCCTCTTTAATTCCCTTCTTTCCTTCCCTCTCCTGCCTTCCCCCTCTTTACCGCCCTCCCTTCTTCTGTCCCTTTTCTTCCCTCCATCCCTCCTCTCCTTCCTCACTTCCTTTTCCTCCTGCCTCCCTCCATCTTTCCTTTCCTTTTTCCTCCCTCTTTTCCTTCCTTCTTCCCTCTTTCCTTTCCTTCTCTTCTTCGAAGGGCAGTGTTTCTGTTCTCCTACAGACATTACTGAAAATGTCAGTGAAAGATACCCTAGGAAAATTTTTCAAACCTTCTTTTACCCAACACTCATGTTTTTAACTTTTCTAGGCAGTTTCACAGAACTCAAGCAGGATGGCCAGAGTGGTTATTGAGGGGGATTACCTCGAATTGTGCCATGTTGCTACAAGGAGTCAAAGCTCCATGGCTAGGGTAGCAAAAGAAGGAAGGTGTAGTCCTCTGATGAATATGAAGTTAATTTTACCCCAGACATTTCTGGTTTGCTCCTCAGCCAAAATGATGATCTGTCAACACCTCCTCCGTTCCCAGCTTTACTTGTTTTTACTCTGTTTCATCCACATCACAGCACATAAAAATACTCAGGTTAGAGAAGCCCCTTGACCCAAAGTGTCATTTTTCTTCAGATCCCCATAGATTTGTAGGTTACACAGTACAAGCATACAGGTGAGAAGACAGCTTGCCTAAGTGGAATATTGTCAGATCTAGAATTAGAAATCAGAAATCCTAACTCCTGCAATATAAGGGTATGACACATGTATTGCCAAATTCAAGCTTGACTGATGTTCACATTTTCCTGGAGCCTAGAAGGTGTTTTAGAAAGTGCAGACTTTCAGGGTTCACCAAGGAACTACTGAGAATCTCCAGAGCAGGATCTGAGATCAGCTTATAAACCCAGTTTATGGATTCCCAAGTCAGCAGTGGACTGTGGGAGACATTCTGGGTATGATCTTTTCTGGTTCATAGACCTTCCAGCACTTTCCCTGTGTGCTCTTCCATCAAACCTTAACCCTACATGCTCCCAGTAAGGTCATAAGTGGATATTTCTTCCTTGCTTTCCAGATAAAGAAGTAGATTACATGAAAGTTAAATAATTTGCCTAATGTTTCTTTGTTGATTAGTAGTGTACGTAGAAGTCAGTGTCTCTCAAATGTTGATGACATCAGAATCCCCTGGACTTAGAAATGCATAGTTGGAGCTGGGTACCCGAGGCTCACACCTATAATTCTAGCTACTCAGGAGACAGAGATCAGGAGGATCGTGGTTCAAAGTCAGCCCAGGCAAATAGTTTGAGAGTTCCTATCTCGAAAAAACCCATCACAAAAAAGGGCTGGTGGAGTGGCTAAAGTGGTAGAGTGCCTGCCTAGCAAGCATGAGGCCCTGAATTCAAATCCCAGTACCACTCCCCCACCAAATGCATAGTCGGAAGCCAGAGGTAGAGCCTGTGGTGTGGTATAAAAACCAGAATGTTACAGTGCCATTTTCTTTGATCTACTATCTTTACCATTCCCCCAACTGGCTCAATCTAAGACTCTCTCCCTTCACACTTAGAAGACATTAGTGATTCCTGAGAGTCCATTCAAATATACTCATCTCTAAAGCCAATAAAGAGGCTGTCTTGTCATTGCCCTAGAAGAGGGCAAGGAAATTGTTTCCATAGTCCCTCACAGCAGACTTCCTTCTATTCCTTTAGGTCATAATTATGTCACTGGCCCATGTGTAAAAGTAAAGAGACCCCAAAGTTGGCAGTGGTAGGAATGGAGAATGACATACAGTTCCACTGAAATATATGGCCATTGGATGGAGGGTGTCCCTGGACAACACAGGCATGGGTGGAGGAAGTTGGAGGAAGGAGGGTAGTTGGGTAAACAAGCAAAGTGTCTGGACTGTTGTCATGATAGCATGTCTTTATAAATTAACACAAAGCAGATGTCAGGCGTACAGTAATTATTTGGTTCCAAGCCTTGAACTCCATATTAAGGAAGGCTATACCCTTGCACTTTCTGTTACCACATCCCCTGGCTACTGTAATTACTACTATCTGTACGAAAACTCAGTTTGCCCACAATTGTAGCTGGAATGAAGCGGACAATCAAACATTTGGGGGCTGCCAACTAATGTAGAGGGTAGGGATATTATTTGGAGTTACGTTGAGTTATTCTGAGTTGAGGAGAGGGTCAGACTATTTAGTTTTCCTATCAAGGGAGTTGAGGAGTGCAGGGAGGAGCTAGGTAGCAGGCAGGGACAGGAACAAAGATGAGAACTCTGAGCAAAAGTGTCTGTTGGGTGAGCTGAATCCCAGGCTGTGACAGAATCAAGAGGTCAGGAAGCCATAGTGGGTTAATTGGGAAAGTGAAGGTTGAGCCAGAAGAAGCAACAACTAATATTTCCTCCTGAGAAGATAAGTCACATTATCCACACAGACAGATCTGTGGAGGTGTCACAGCACTAGGAGAAAGCCTGAAAAACATTAATCATGAATAACATTTGTCTGGGAGGTGATTGTTCTTAAATCTATGTCCTAAATTTTCTGTGTTAAATTTCTATTATTCATACATATTTTTTAAAAGTTCAGATTTTTTTCACTCTTCTGTAGAGTTTATCCAACCTAATTTATCCAGCATATTTAATGAGCATCTGTTATATGCTTGAGACTGTTTTAGGTGCAGGTCATCTAAGTAGGACAGTAGTCCAGGCAAGAACCTTGGACCAGGGAGATGACAGTGGAGGCAGAAGATGTGATGGGAGACACACTTTCTGGGTAGCATCAGTAAGACTTGTCAATGGACTAGACAGAAGATGAGGAAGGAGGAGGGATCAAGATGGTGAGTAGATTTTTTTGGTTTCAAAACTGGGTAGGTGGTGTCATTTGCTATGAGTGGAGGGACTGGAGGAGAAACAAGCTTTTGTGGGTGGGAGAAGAGGAAGGAGGATGAAAATGGGCTTGAATAGCCTATGAGGCATCCAAGTGGTTCTACCAAATAGGCAGTTACGTGCACAAATCTGAAGCGTGGGTCAGGTTAGAGGTATAAACGTAGAGCTCATTAGCACAGTGATGGTATTGCAAGCTGTAGAGCTGGGTAAGATCGTGTAGTCAGTCCTGTTCAATAGAACTTTCTGTTCTGTTGCCACACCTCAGCCCTTTGTGTTCTGCTCATTTTGGAGATAGGGTCTTGTTTTTTGTCCCAGCCGGTCTGGACAGCAATCCTCCTGTTTTACTTCCGGCTGTCACTAGGATGACAGACACTTGCTACCAAACCTAGCTTTTTTCCATTGAGATGGGGGTCTTGCAAACTCTTTTGCTTAGGTCGGCCTCAAACCATCATCCTCCCAGCCTCAGCCTCCCAAATGTCTTGGGATGACAGGTGCAAGCCACAATGCCTAGCTACTGGTTGAGATGGGGGACTCAAAAACTCCCTGCCCTATCTGGCCTTGAAATACAATCCTCTGATCTCAACCTCCCAAATAGCTGGGATTACTGGTGTGTGCACCAACACCTGCAAAAATGTTTTGTGTCAGTGTTGTACACTATCCACATCTTCCTAATGAATGCTTGAAATATGCCTAGTGGAATTGAGGAACTGAATTTTAATTTTATTTCACCTACATTGTTTCATTTTATTTTATTACTTTTCTGAGACAGGGTCTTGCTATGTAGCTGAGGCTAGCTTCGAACTCATGTGTGGAATTATAGATGTGTACTGTCACACCTGGCTACGTTATTTGGAATTTAAGTAGACACATGTGGCCAGGGGCTACCAATTTGGACAGCACAGGATAAGAAGAGTCTGGGGTCATGAACATTTAGAGGTCTATCTAGGATTGCAGACTAAGCCAGCAAAGAAGATGGAGAAAGAAAAGTCAGGGAGATGAAAGTCAGGAAAGAGTGGGACCCACACAAATCAGGGAAAATGATTTAACGATGAGAATGCAGTCAGTATGTCACAGGCTGTTGACAGGTGGGATCAGGTGACATATAGAATAGATTGGGCACCGGGGATCAATCAGCATGAATTTTACACAACAGAGTTTCCATTGCATGGCGGTGATGGAGCAGAAAAGGGAATGGGGATGAAGCAAAGCAGAAGTCTCTCTAGGCAAGTTGTTCAAGTTGTTCTTCAGTGACTTCTTTTTTGGGTGTACTTTTGGGGGGTGTACTTTTTGGGGGGTATACTTTTTTGGGTATACTTTTTTGGGGTGTACTTTTTTGGGGTGGGGTGTACTTCTGTTTGAAACAGCCTCACACATATTAAGCAAGTGCCCTACCACTTCAGCCACAGTCCCAGCCTCAAGTTTTTCTTTAATGGGAAATGGATAGATTGAGTGAAGGATGAAGACGACTTTGTAACTGACAAAGATTTTTTTTTATCCCCACTTTTTTGCAGTGCTGAGGATAGAATCCAGGGCTTTGTGAATGCTAAGCAAGGGCTCTACCACTGACTATACTCCCAGCCCCAGGAAACTTATTTTTTAAGATGAGAGTTTTTTGATATATTTGCTGATATTAAAGAGACCTGACAGAGGAATATTGACACAGGAGGGAGAAGGAATGAGAACAGGAACAAATTTCTTCAAAAGATGGAGGGGG